CTAAGCACTATGTCCTGTTCCATATCTTCCACTGTCCATATTTTCCAGCTCTCCTTTGCAGTCTTATATTCAAATCCACCTGCCTGCTAGTGCCTACATAAGTGGAAGTTTATTTGACCTCTAAAGCAGCCTTCTACAAGCATGATGGAAAAACACAAAACCTTCATATAACAGTGTCTACCACAGAGAAGAACTCAGCTAAGTGTGGGACCCACTCAACATGAGTGACCACAGCTCCTGAATTTTGCAGAGTCCAGAAGTTTTCAAGATTGTTTTCTCTATGTTACTCACAATTTCAACCTGTTGTTTAAATCCAACGTTGCGCTCATTGCACTTCACTGAGCTTTATTTTGATTTGAAGCCCTTCCAGGTTATGGGCAGTTAACTCTGTTCGTGATAGACCTGCTTTGTAATTCACAAGAGAAACCTTAGTCTACTGTATTCAGATAGCTACAGTGATGAAGTATCTCTCCCTGGAGAGAACGGAAAATAATGGTTTCTCAAATTATAAAGAGAGAAATGTGCTCTCGAGTTAGTGACAATTTATCTGAGTACTAAACAATTTTCTTTTTGAAAGTTTGAAGTGGAACTACCCAGAAACACTTTGTGGCTGACCAGCAACTAAACTCCTGGCATTTCCAAAGTGGGATTTACTGACTTAGAAATGTTCTGCGTTGATTCACAAAGGCATGAACTATCTTTGGAATATCTTTGAAATATCTTCAAGGGAGAGGTGGCCACTGTTATGCAAGTTCATTGTGCTGACTAAACTGCTAAGAGGATAAATAAAATTATATCAACCAGGCTAAAGAAAAAAAAAACCCAGAGACAGCCTAGGGAGAAAACCAGGACAGGACTGGTAGACCATAAGAGAGTCCCCTTGCCATATATGGTGGAAATGGATTCTCTTCTCCACATAAAAATCTCAGTCTCGGGAGCTTGTGGAGATGTCCCTGCTTCGCAATCAGAAAGAGCATGTCTGGGCCGGCCCGGGAGCATGTCTCCTAACTCCTGACCCGTAAGCTCATGGGAAGCTTTCACTCCTAGGAGTAAGTCAGCTGCTTAAGAAGTATATCTGGGGCCGGCCCGGTGGCGCACTGCTACAGTGCGCTGCTTGGGAGCGTGGCGGCGCTCCNTGCCTTTGCACTGGGGGTTTTTTGGACCAACTTGTCCTCCATGAGTACATATTATACAACTCAAGACCATGTCTGTGCCTGGAAAAGGGTCCATGTGCCTGTCCTTTTTGCATCCCCCTGTGAGGGCTCTCTGGTGCCATTCTCTCTTCTTCCCCATGCAGGAAGCCTACGTGATGGCCAGCGTGGACAATCCCCATGTGTGCCGCCTCCTGGGCATCTGCCTGACCTCCACAGTCCAGCTTATCACGCAGCTCATGCCCTTTGGCTGCCTCCTAGACTATGTCCGTGAGCACAAGGACAACATCGGCTCCCAGTACCTACTCAACTGGTGTGTGCAGATTGCCAAGGTGAGTCGAGAGCGAGCCCTGCCCACCTGCATGCACAGCAGGCAGCCGGCTTTGAAGAGCAGGGCAGGTGTTTACATTAAACAGGAAGTGCCTTGGCTTGCTGTGCTTCATTTCTAAGCACTATGTCCTGTTCCATATCTTCCACTGTCCATATTTTCCAGCTCTCCTTTGCAG